GGCATCCAGGGTCTGTAGGGCTAAGACAGGGTGCGCAAGCCGGTTGGGAAGTTGAGGCTCCCCGGGAGGGTTGAACGACCGCAGAACCATTGTTTTCCTCTCTCCGACAAACACACCCTCATACCTGGCCAGTCTAGTCCTTTTACCCACTAAACCAGCTGCGTTGTGGGCTCCTCCCTCCCGGAACCTCAGGTTTTGAAAAGGGAGGGGTCGAGGGAGAGAGCCCCCAGTCTCCTCGTGGAATGGGCTGGGTGGACTGGGCTCCAGACCGCTTCAATTTGGGGCCCCTGGCTGGCCTTCTGAGGACCCTTCCGTGTGCGTCCGCAGCCCCGGGACCAGCCGTGGAGGTGCATGTGCCCGCTGAGCCCCTGAGCACACCTGTGGGCAAGACCGCTGAGCTGACCTGCAGTTACAGCACGTCGGTGACAGACAACTTTGCCCTGGAGTGGAGCTTTGTGCAGCCTGGAGAGCCCATCTCTGCTGCTCATCCAGTGAGCTGAAAGTGGGTGGGGGTTGGGGGGACCTGCGGCCTATGGCCTGGTAGGCCTGGGGAGGCAAGAATTCCTAGGGGGCCCATCCAGGATGAGGAGCAAGGACTGGAGGGTGTGTTGGGAGATCAGAATCCTTGAATAAAAAAAAATAAGTGGACTCTAGGACTGAAGGCTTTGTAGCCTCAGATCCCATGTGTGGCTCTGTATAGCTGCCTCCCTCCTCATAGCTCTCATATGCAGCTTCCCTGTGTTAGTGCAGTCCCAGCTTCACTTAATAAACCCATTGATGCTCAGCTGTTGTGATTGACAGTAGTATAAAATGCTGCCCCTTCCGGGAATATTTGTATTATTTTTTTCCAAATTGAGAGCCATACTTAGCTGAAAACAATGAATCTTGTTCATTTAGCACCTGGGAAGGAATGGTATTTGGAGACAGAGAGTTTCATGATTCTAGTTACAGAGGATCAGCTTCCCTGGCTGGTGTAAGGGAGGGGCCTTTTGAGAAAGGACCGTAGAGTTGATGCCAGGCAGGAAAAGGTGTAGATGTGTGTCTTCTGCTTCTCCCCAGATCCTGTACTTTACCAATGGACATCTGTATCCAACTGGTTCTAAGGCAAAGAGAGCCAGCCTTCTTCAGAACCCCCCCACAGGAGGAGTGGCCACCCTGAAACTGAGTAATGTTCACCTCTTGGATACTGGAACCTACCTCTGCCATGTTAACAACCCACCAGATTTCTACACCAACGGGTTGGGACTAATCAACCTTACTGTGCTGGGTAAGGCAGGCCAGGGACCCACCAGCCACCCACATACCCTGCTGGCCCCGCTAAATCCCCCATATACTGATTGCCCGCCCAAGCACACAACCTTACCAGAGACCCCAAGGGAAATTACCTCCTTTCTAAAGTCTTCTAATCCAGTCACAGCCCTGTTCCACCCTCCACAAAGAGTGCTCCTCCTTCAGTCTCTAGTAACAAATGTCCTACATAAAGGGTCTGAGTCATGCCCCCAACAGCTCCATTTGTGGGAGAACTTCCCATTTGTAGCTCAGATTCTGTCCCTACTCAGGTCAGTGGCAGAGGAAGGGAAGGGCCATTAAAGGAACTAGGGTCCCTACCACTAAGCCCCAACTTCGTGTTCAGAGCTTTCATCTCACCCCAAACTAGAGCCTACTTGGAGATGAGCAAACAGAAGGAACTATTAAATAGGCTGCGGATGTTTAGATGGGAAAGACAAGACTTAGGATGTGGTGTATGACAGCTACATTCAAGTATCTGAAGGGCTGGCCTGTGGAAGAGAGTTTTCATTTCTCTTTGTGGGCCCAGAGGGCAGGAATTGGGACCAATGGGTGGAAATTATATTAACAGTTTGAGGCCCAACATGTAGAAGATTCTTCTAACAATCAGAATTTCCAGTAGTGGAAATCATTTCCTGGGGATACAGTGGTGTGTAACAGAAGCGGACCGCTTATTTGGTAGCTGTATTGAAGCAGGAAATCTAACACTTAATGGGGATGGGGTTAGAAGATTGCTAAGGTTCTTTCTATGAATTTTGTAGTGCCCCCCAGTAGCCCCTTGTGCAGTCAGACTGGCCGAATCTCTGTGGGAGGCTCTGCTGCGCTGAGGTGCAGCTCTTCTGAGGGAGCTCCCAAGCCAGTGTACAACTGGGTCCGCCTTGGATCTTCTCCGACACCTTCTCCTGGCAGCATGGTGCAAGGTAAGGGCTAGGACATCAAGAGAGGACTCGGGATCTGGGTAAATCTGGTCTGTCAACTTTGGTCTTCTAAAGGGAAGGCAAGTAGCTTAGAAAAACACTTGGTCAACTTAGAGCCACCCCAGGGGATATAGTTTCTAGCAATGAAGCCTTTTCCCCCCAGTCAGGAACTGGACATCAGCCAGTAAGCACCCTACCTCAATTCCACTGCCAGTTTCTTAACCTTTCATGTGTGTGCAGTCTTCCCGTGCCCTGAAAAGGCGGCTGGCTTTGGCACTTCCTCTCTGGGTCACTTCAATTACCTTCCTTCTCTGAGCCAGTTTTCCCACTAATAAAATGAGGTTGGTCCCTTCCTGACAGGATAGTCGTAAGGAAGAAAAGAAATATGCTCTCGTCATAGTAGGTGCTCACTTTGAGTCAAAGGACTGATGGAATACTTCCTCTTTACCCTTTAGATGAGGTGTCTGGCCAGCTCATCCTCACCAATCTCTCCCTGGCTTCCTCGGGCACCTACCGCTGTGTGGCCACCAACCAGATGGGCAGTGCATCCTGTGAAATGACCCTCTCTGTGACTGGTAGGGATGCCGGGCAGACACCAGATTGGCAGGCCTGGGTTGTGGAGGTTGCATGAAATTGTCTGAGGGGGTGCCAAGGAGGGTCTGCAGCTCTGAGGAACCTGCATATTCTTAGAACCTTCCAAAGGCCGAGTGGCTGGGGCTGTGATCGGGGTGCTCCTGGGCGTGCTGTTCCTGTCCATCATTGCATTATGCTTCATAAAGTTCCAGAAAGAGAGGAGGACGAAGCCTAAGGAGACATACTGGGGTAGTGACCTTCGGTGAGCAGGAGGGTGAGGGTTGGTGCGGAGAGGGAGGAAAGGGTTTGGGGTAAGGCTAAGTGATGTCAGTCCTCAAACTCTGACATCTTTGGGGTGCTTGGGTGGTAAGGAATGTCGCTCAGCCCTGGGATTTGGTGGTGGTGGTGGGGGGGCAGCACTATAGCCTGTGCTTTTGAGTGTGTGAGCAGTGCACAGGAAGAGTGGGCTCAAAGTTGCCCTCACCTTCCTCATACTTAAAAGAATTTTCACTTTTCAGTTTTTAAGGCTTTTTCATATACGTCAACAGGATGTGGATGCCAGGAGTTGGATTTGCCCTGGGCACTCAGCTAAGTTTAGTTCTTCTGTGTGGGGCAGCAAGGAGAAGCAAAAGCTGCCTTTGTCATCCACTTCAGCTATCAGTCGTAGGGTCCAGAATAGGGGCCAGAGCAGAATTTCTCCAAGTGTGGTCCTCCAGTGAACTGGGCAGAAATCACTGAGAGGGAGCTTGTTAACATTCAGATTCAGGCAACTTCCTACCCATCCTGAAGTAGAATCTGTATGTGTTGGGGGGTGATGGGACCTGGAATCTTCATTTTAACCAAAGTTCCACAGATGATTCCCAGGCACGGAAAAGTGTAAAAGTTCCCAGGTTAGAGGGATGTCCTCTGAGGGATGCCTCCAGCCTCCACTAAGAATGTGTTTACATCTATTAGAGAAGATGCCATCGCTCCCGGGATTTCTGAGCAGACTTCTGTGAGGGCTGATTCCAGCAACGGGCTCCTGGAGAGGCCCCCCTCTGCCAGCACTGTGACTACCACCAAGTCCAACCTCCCTATGGTTGTCTGATATCCTTCCCGATCCCTAACGGGGGAACATCAACGATTAAAGCCTTTGGGTGCCATATTGCCTCCCTCTTCTTTCTGCCGGTATAGCAAATTCCTCTAGGTAATCCAAAGAATATTACCAGTAGGGAAGGAATGAGCTCGTAGTCCCAGAGATGATGCTGTAGGCCGGAAGTTTGCTTGGCTCCAAAGGGTAGGTTTTAACCGAGGTCCCTTTCCCCCTTTCTCCTTCCCTCTCCACATTTTCGTTTGGTCAGACTAGACGTGTTCAAGTTTCGACTGGTGGCCTTGTGCACCCAAACACCCTCCCTTCTGGCACCCTCGGAACACTTGGACATTCCTCTTTATTGTTCACATTCCAACCCAGCACAGTCACATGCACATACGGAGATAAAAAACCTTCCGGCCACAGCCCCAGGAGCCCGGCGGGATTGGGCCAGCAGGGCGGGGGTTGGGCCACGGCAGACTCCTCCCACCGAGCCTCCCGGGAGCTCTGTATTTGCATAACAGGAGAGCTGGGGGTGGGGGTGGCTCTCCGGGTACGTTGGGGCGAGGGAAGGGCGGTTTACGCGCAGGCGTGGGGGTGGGTTGTGAAATAGGGATTTCCCTTCTCATCAGAGCGAGGGGTATCCGATACCATAAAAACCTTCTCTTCTCTCTGCCCCAAATCCAAAGTTCTGGGGAGGGGCGGGGGCGGAAACAGCACTGAGACGAAGGCCCCCGCCCCGCCCCCCGCTTTAGCTGTGCACGCAAAGAAAGGATTTTTTTTTTTTTAAGTGGGTGTCGTCCGGCAACGCAGAGGCTAGGGCGCCCTCCGCGGTGCACACATGGGAGCGTCGGGAGGCTGCGGAGGCAGAGTTGCATGCTGGTGCGGGGAGAGGGGCGAGAAGCAAAGAATGACGATTGGGGAGCGCGAGGTTTGGTGCTCGGGTAAGGAGGAAGGGCGAACCGGGACCATACTAGAATGAACTAACTAAAAGGGCACAGACTTAGCGACTCCTCGACGGAGCTTGCCTGGGACAGGTCTCTGGGGACGCAGGGAGGCTCCTGAAGCTGGCAGGTTGGTGGGAAGGAGAGGGTCACAAACACGGCAGGGAAGTCTCGTCATTGCGAAGGGGACGCGGCATCCATCTCTCCTCGGGAACTGAGGACAGAGAAGGTCTGAGCACCTGCCCTCTCCAGTACTTCCTTTCCCCCTCCCTTTCTCCTTCTTGGATCGGGACACGAGGGCGGGAGCTCCAGGGGACCCCAAGCACCCTGAACCCGTCCCCTGCCCCAAGCCGCTTAGCTGAAGCCAGCCGCAGCCGGTACGTGCGTGTGCTGCAGTGAGCTTAGAGCCCCTGGTCGGGCTCGTGCAGACATACGGGGGGACTGCGTATCTGTTTTAGTCCAGGTATGTCCCCGTCGCAACCTCGAGCGTCTTGGATGTATCGGAAACCCCGCAGGCGCACGGTGCATTTTCCCCGGTTAGGAGGGGGTGATAGGAGGCAGAAGGAAGGGGTGGGGACTGGGTCCTTTTCTCCCTCTCAGGGTTTCTACCCCGCCGCTTTGGGGTCGTAGTCATTACCTTAGAATATGCTCAGTGCTTCGGTCCGGGAGTGCCGAAGAGAGGGTGGAGAAACAGATGAGCTCTCGGACCCGCAGCGCCCTCAGCTCCCCACCACCTCCCGTCTCGGATTTCCAGTCTCCCAGCCTTAGCTCCCCACGCCCCTCTCCACTCCCAGCCCGCCCACTGTCTTACTTGCTCCTTCGGAGGAGGAGCGGGAGCTCTCAGCGGGTCCCGGGGCTGGGAAAGGACCTGCTCACCTGGCCTAGTCTCCGCTGGGGCAGCCGCCCGCGCCTCCCCGGGCGCCCCCAGCTCCGCCAGGCCCCCCGGGGCCCGGGCCCTTCCGGCCACGCTCTCCGCTTTTGATCTTCTTCCTCGCCATGTGGCCCCGGAAACTCGCCTGGATTTTGGCAGCGGCAGCATTGGCACCAGGATCGTCCAGCGGGATGTCTAGAATGTCGTCGTCGGGCTTGGAGCAGGCGCTCTCCTGGGGGTGGGGCAGGGGTACTTGTGGGGTGACTGGGCCCAAACTCCGCGAGGGTGGGGTAGGAGTAAGCCTTGGAGGTTGAGAGGAGGGCGACGCGGGAGCGGGAGGTGCAGAGAGGGCATAAAGAAGGGCTAAGGCAGAGCGGGCGCGCTGGTGTGCGTGCATCCCTCCTGGGCAGCGGCAGGCAAAAAGGAAGGTTCAGGTTCAGGTGGACATAGCTGTGTTCCCAACTCAGGAAAGAGAAGTGCCTGGTGGGATGGGATCCAAGACAGTCATGCAAGACAGCCAGAGAGCCCCAAGTGAGCCAAAGGCCCATCGCCATCAGCCGAGTTGAAAGAGCTGCAGAGCTGAGTGGAAAGGGGTGGAGGTTGGAGGAGCAAAGTGAACAACGACAGGAACTCCTGGATGTGGCTGCCTCTCCCCTGTCCTCAGATGTACCCCAGCTCAGAAGGGCTCCTTCTGAAATCAGGATAATATCTACCTCTGTAGGTTGTAGGGAAGAATAAACAACATGATATGCATAAAGTTTCTGGCACCATCTAGCTGTTCGATAAATAGTAGCTATTATTACAATTCTTTTAAATAATAAGTTGATGTGAAATTGTTTTTGTAGGCCAAAAGTGGTCATGTAAAAACAATTTCTTATGGTTCAGCCTAATAAAAATCAGACCCACCTCCATGTCCCAGGTTTCTCTTTCTCCTGCAGCCTGCCCCAGCTGACAGTTGAAAGGGGCGGGGAACTGATGGTACTGATTTCAAAGGCAAGGCTCTGGCATTGAGAGGGCCTCAGTCTCTGAGCCCCTGTGTTGCTCACAGCGTTGATGTGGGTTGGGATGCAGCTGGTTACTATGCAATTAAAAGACCATTTCTCTTTAGATGTGACCCTCTGGCTCCTAAGAATTCGCTCTCATTTTTGGCCTGCAGACTTCCACTGCTTTTAGTTTCTTTTGCTTTCTGGGTACAAGATGACCAAGGTCTCACATAGTCATTCGGTTATATTCATTTCCCCATCCAGTTCACAGAAGTGGGATGGGTATGAGTGGGGCTTCAGTGATCACTGCCCCCACCAGGTTGCCCCGGGAGCACAGGTCTGAACTCCAGTTAGACCTGAGCACTGGTTCACAAATGCCTTCCCTCATTGTGCTTCCTAAAGCTATCTTCATTTCCTGGCTTCATAGTTCTTTGGTGTGTGCTCGAGATGCCCACAATTGATTTAAATGCAGTTAAAATGAGTTATTAAGAGGCCAGTGTGGTTGTGGAGGGCCCGGTACATTTGTTGTCATTCTTTGGTCTAGTGCTCTCTTCCTGACATCTTATTCCCCATCTATAAACTGAAGCAATGCTTTTTTGGTTCCTTGATTCTCAGAGCTCAAGACTTTCTTAGGACATTCTCAGGGAACAGTGTGAAGCTTCTCCACAAAGGAGAACAGTGATCAAAGCAACCATCCCAGACCCACGTTTCCTTAGCTGGCAGCTGTAGAAGTTGAGCTGAGGAAGGGGTTTCTTTCCCCAACCACGCTAAGGCTGACCTGCTGTCACCACCCACCCCAGCTGGATCTAGAATGGAAACCTGGAAGAACAGGCTAAGCCACCCCCAATAATATGCCACTCCTCCCCAGAATCAGCTCCCCTCCCTCCAGCTGAATCCTCAGGGCAGAGCTGCTAGGCGGCCTGTCCACAGGCAGAACTGGAGGAAGAGTAAAAGAAATCCAGGAAGGGTCATGATGCCTGGGCTAGTGCTTTTAAAAGCCAGATTTGATGGTATGTGCCTGAGAGCTCTGTATGAACTAGGGGGCTTCTGGGGGAGGGGCATGCATGAAGGGGTAAAGTGCACTGGTAGCAAAACAGGAACCATGGCTTCTGGTCCCAGATGTGCACATGACTTCACCTCTGAGGGTCTCAGTTTCTTCAGCTGCAACTAGAATTTGGCCTAGATAAATAAAGTCTTCTTCAGCTCCCAAATCCTAAAAGTCTTAAGAATTAGCCTTGCCTACTGCTTGTTATATGCCTGGCCCTGCGCTAAGCACTTTGCACACATTACCCCATTTAATCCCCATTTCACAGGTCAGGAAACAGCCTCAGTCATTTTGCAACTTACTCAAGGTCACAGAGTTGACAGACTCTGGTGGTAGGATTCAGAAGCCTGTGCTATTAACCACTGCCTAGGGTAGGTAATTATTTCTTTGAGTTCAGTTGGACCAAATCAACTAGACTAAGCAAAAGAAAGGAGTAGGGTCCCCCCAAAAATGTTTCTTTGCCTTTCATATTAAGTGAACTCAGAAAAGTTGTGTGTGTGCATCTATCTATCTATCATCTATCTATCTATCTATCTATCTATCTATCTATCTATCTATCTATCTATCTATCTTTCGATCTATATCAGAAACTGGTACATTTGAATCAACAGCTGTCTCTTAAAAAAAAAAAAAATCTGTTCTCATTTCTGTTTGAGCCTCCTTACCAAGGGGAAAGAAGGAGGTAAGGCAGGACTAGGTTAGAGTCCCTAGAATGAAAGATAAACAGGAACCTGCCCCTAGTAGCCCAGATGCATTCTGTTCTCTCTACATGTTCCAGCTCCCTTCCAGCACTGAGCCCAGCCCTCCAAAGAATGGGGATGGGGTAGGAAGAGGCTCAGTACCAGCCTTGCTCCAACCTTCTGCTCAGTCACCCCTTCTCTCTCTTCTTGCTCCCCTATGCAGTCTGACAATGTTGGTGGCTCTTGCTCGGACCTTTAGCGCTAAAGACCTTGGACAGGGCCTGAAAGGGGAAGGCTCCTGTGTACAGAATACACTGTAGGAGGTGTCCCAGGGCCTTGTGCCAATGGAATAATTGTGTATTTGCCTCTTCTATACTATTAGGTGGGCAGCTTCTCCTTTCTTTAGGGAACACTTATTCCAATCATGCCTACCAATCACTCAGTTTGGCTTCCTGGACACTCAAGAGCATGGTCAGGGCAGACCAAGGCCTCATAGGCCGGGACCCAACATTCTACCCTAATTACTCCTGCAGGTACCAGCAGAGACAAGTTACATTCCTTTCCTGGCCTCTTGGATTCTTTGCTCTCTCATCTCTTTCCACTGACCATGCCTCCTGCCTTCCCTTTCCCATCATTCTTACCATCTCAGCAATGTCGCGCCCCCCATACTCATATACAGAACCCTCCATCCATTTATTTTCTCTACTTTAGAAAATACTGCGGGTGAGGGGGGGAGGAGGCGGTGAGGAGCTCTTCTTCAGTAGAGCCCAAGAACCTCCATTAAGAGCCCATTCCTCCTTTCATAACCAAAAATGGCTTCCTGGAGAATAACGGGAAAAGACTGGAAGCAGATATGTTACAGGATTTTCCCCAAGGGGTGGGATTGTAGATGATTGACATGTTTCTTTAGTTTTTATATTTTCTATTATGAGCATAGTACTTTTATAATGAGAAAAAAATAGCAAATATTCAGAGGAGAAGTAAAGTATTTGAACCAGACAAGGCTATGTTCAAATCCTGTCCTTATACTTAGAAGCTGTGCCTCCTTGGACAAATCCTTTAATCTTTCTAAACCTCAGTTTGCTCATCTGTAAAATGGGGAAAATAATAGCGACCTCACAGGGCCGTTGTGATGATTAAATATAAAGTGTTAGGTACATGCTAAGCATTCACAGATTGACTATTATTGATATTAATGAGTTAATGATAACCACAATGACTTGCCTCTAAGTTCTTTCTGCCTCTTGGTACTCAGACATAAGGAAGCCTCGCCTCTTATAATCTGGGCTATCCTTTCCTTCCAAATCTCACTTTTTGTTTTCTTTTGTAAGCCATAGGGTGGAGGGTGGGGAGCGGGCAGTCATAAACTCTTGTATCATTAGCTGGGTTGACTGAATGGCTGAGAATGCAAGGGCTTTGCAGTAGTCTTTCTCCATATGTAAGAGCTAAAAATCAATAATTAAAAAATAAATTTTCTATAAGTATGATCGCTGTACTCCTTGAGTGAGCCAGGCACTTTCATACCCGAGTTCCCTTAACAGCAGCCTTCTTTGTCGTTAGGCACTTGCGCATCCAGGTCTCCGTGGGCGCTGACAAATTGCAGACACTTCCTTCCCTCGCCAGCAGGGATCTCTCGCGGTCACCCAGCCCCCTAAAGGGCTAGAAGGCGTTGAGGACCGGGCCAGCACCTCCCCAGAACCTCACCGACTAGGCTCTTTGCTGCCCATCATCACTACGAAGCTAACTGGTATAAACTGACTATCCCACCCTGCACCATACAGGCCGCGAGGGTCCGGAGGATCATGCTCTCCCCCCACCGACGGCGGCGGCAGTGGGATGAGGAATGGGTTGGAGGCCGAAAGCCAGGGAAAAGGAGTCGGAAGGGAGTCACCTAGGCATCTCTAGGCGACGGTTTTCAGTCTCTCTAGGGGGAAGTTTCTCTTTTCCTCTAATCTGCAGCTTCCCTGCTGCAGAGCCCTGCCGAGCTCCCAGTCCAACCCAGACTGCCTGGCGGATGGGCGCCCAGACGCCCCCGCGAGTTGGGGTGCATTTTCCCAGGGTTTCCAAGTCAGGCGCGTGCCTTCCACCACCACCACCACCGTCGCCGCCGCCGCCGCCGCCACTACCACCACCACCACCACGTCTCAACAGGCACCCCTATTACTCCTCTATCTTTGCACTCACTTCCCTCCTTCACTCACCCTCCAGAGGGTTCTCGGGAGCCCTTTCCCCAGACCAAACAGGTTGGCCCGTCCCTCAGGCCCTCTAACTTACGGTGCAGCAGTCCATGCTGGTGCTGGGAGTCCTCGGCTGGGCAGAGCTGGCGCAGGGCGGGGCCGAGTCTGTGTTGTGCGGGGTTGGGGACTCGGGGGCTGAGCGGCGCCCGCCGACCCGCGCCAAGCCCTCTGCAGAGCTCTCCCGTCCGCTCTCCCGCGCTCCGCTCTGCTTGCGAAGGTAACCTGAGCCCTGCGGTCGTAAAGCCAATCAGGAGCCGTCTCGGGCAGGGTGGGCGGAGACTGGAGGGATGACCACGCCCTCTCCGCGGAGCTCCTGCTCCTGCCCCAACCCCTCCGCCCCCACACTTCCATCCACTCCTCCTACACACGCGTCCTCCCAGATTCAACCCTTCGCTGCTGAGGCGGCAGACTGCCAGGAAGGTGTGGAGGTTCCTGACATCCCGGGCACGAACACATTCACATCTGGGCACAACACCCTCCCACTCATATATGGAAAACCGAGCACCCCTCACCATCTTCCCACACTTCCACAACCTAGCCAGAGTCCCGAATAGGGCTCCCTTTAGCTTCTCTCCCCCTCAGTCCTCAAACAGAAGCCCCGAAGACGTGAGGTTAAAAAGTCCCGTCACCACTCTGCTGTGGAATGGAGAATGCTGTAGGTTACACAACTTGGTGGTGGACACACAAACACGAAAGCTCACAAGCTCACGTGTTCGTATACAATTGTCCCAGGCTCGCTGAAACGTGCACATAAATATGTAGACACTACAGACACAACCTGCAAAAATAACTACAAAGACCTTGTACACACACTGAGCAGATAAATGCAGACGCATGCGCGTGCACATGAGCAATCACCCTACCCGAGATGTCTGCATTACATATTTATTGTCTATCCTTGTATCTCTTTGTATGTCCTGCTCCAAACAAAATCATATGTGCGCAGCACCCATTTTGTATGTATTTTTATATGGATACTGACTTGACCTTTCCCTCCCACCCCCCATACCAGAGGCTCCCTAACCTCTTAATCCAATGCTTCAGAATAAGACAAAAACTGGTCACTTTCACCCTTGCCCCTGGGAAGACAAATATCCTAAACCTTAGTAGAGGGAAATATCTAAGGTCATGGCTCTTCCGGTCCATGATGGAGGCAGGATGTGGGCTTGGTGAGAGGCTGGGAAAGGGAGATATGGGAGGATCATCTAGGAGGAGCAGCCACCACTTTTGTGGTGGCTCATCTCCCCTAGCCTGTCAAGGTTCTAGAGCTGACTGTGGCATGTTATGTGGATGAGGTGGGCCATCTCTGAGAAAACTAAAAGGAAATTCTTTCTCAGCTAAGGTCCCACAGGAGGGAAGGAAGAAAGAATGGCTGCTACTCAGGCCTGTTGACTAAAGCAGAACAAGGAAAGGAACTGAGGCTCTGGTGGGGACTGGGGATCCTGAAACAGCACTTCAACGAACCCACAGTTTCCTTCCTACCTGAACGTTTTGTGCCATGGGCTTTGCTTGCCAAAAGGAAAATGAGTGGGAGGGAAATTCCAGTGGCCACTCATGATGGGGACAGGGTTAGCCAGCTTGGGCCTCTAAGCCGAGCTGGATGCTGGCAGGTTCCAGGACTTGGGGTGTAGGGGTGTCTCTCTCAGCATATTTGGGACCCACCCACCTTATAACTGAAAATCTGTTCCCCAATCTGTCTCTGGCACATCCTCCATCCCCCACCTCCACCAAATGGCAATGTGTCAGAGGAACTCAGGCCCTTGCCTTAATGATGTGCACATCTGGGTCCTTAAGTTGTGCCAGTTCCTGTTGGACTTCAACTCCAGAATCCAGACGAGAGAAAAAAGGAGTAAATCAAGGCCAGAGTGGATATGAGGCCTGGACTCTCTGCTTTTCTCTTCCCAAATTAGAGCTGAGGAATTCGGAATTTAGTGAGTTTGCAGTAAAGTCTCCCAAGTTGCTAGGCAACGTCCCTCTGCAGCCTGTGCTGCCTCTGGGCCCTCTTCCTGCTGGTCAGAGCCGGAGTGGGGGGTATCTTTACAACAAGCCTCCCCCCAAACTCCCACACAGGCAGCACAGCCCTTCCCTCTTCCTAAAAGACACCTTTGTGTGGGGAGAGGGTGTCTCTGAACACTGGCGGGCCTATGAGAGAAACAGATACAGTGACTGTCAGTTCCATTCGCAAAACAGCCATTTCAGCAACAGCCCACTTGAGGCGCCTACGCAGAACTGGCCACAGAGCTTGCCCTGGGGGATGGGCAAGCTCCGAGGTGAGGAAAAGGTAGACAGAGAGGAAGGCAGAGACAGGAATGAAAAGACAGACATCCACAAACTCAAATATCCAGAGGCATGAGCAGCAACACGTACTGCCTCATTTAAATGGCACATACAGGTAGACCTGGAAGTTCGCACGCACGCACACATACACATACACACACATTCATTGTGGGCATGTTGCTACACATGGACATCTAAAGACACACACAGCAATGGACCCCTCCTCCATCACGCATCTGGGACACATACTTTCCCTAGTAAGGGGAAGTTCCTCTTCTGGACATGGGGGCCAGGGTTTGTCAGCAAGATGGGCTGAGTGAAACTCTGAGCCTCTGATTCTCAAATGGATGAGCTAGGAAAAGGGACAGGGAGCAGAGCAGAATACCTGGGTCTGGCTGCTCTGAGGAACAGGCTGCCTCATTCTATGAGGCTCTGGACCTTGGCAGAGCAGTGCGTGATGACACTCCCCACAGAGGACTGCTTGGTCTAGGGCCTGGATGCCAAGGTCAGCTTTTGGAACATTACCTATTAACCGGCTGGGCTTGGGTCTGTCATTACCCTCCTTGACCCTTGGAATCTCGAAAACTCTCAGCCCCCACAGATATTGAAGGAAAAAGACTACAGGCCTGGAAGGGAAATGAGCTTCTGAAGGGCCAGGTCAGAGAGGGAGCTGGGCATGTGGGTGGGTGGACTGGATCCAGCAGGGAGCACCGAAGAGGAGGAAATTGACTAGAAGCCCAGGTGGGCAGAGGAGGAGGTGGTTAGACAAAAGAGAGGATAAAAGATGGATTAGTGGGAAGCTTCTGAGGTCCAATACAGATCTTTCTCGCCACAGATGGAGGGGATTTGGAGAGAGTTGGTCCTTGTAAGCAGAGAGAAAAGCTACTACACATGGCAAGCTATTTGCCAATACTTGTGGCTTCCCTTGGGAGTAGGCATGTTCTGAACATAACATCCCAGCTCAAGCCCACAGAGGGACTCCATGATCAGAAGAGGCTTGTGCCTTTGGGCAAGCTCATCTGGGGGCTTCTTAGGTTAGGATTTTACCCATTTAAGTGAAAGGGGTGGAGGTAGCAGAAAATTCTGTTTTCTGTGCAAACATTTCAGCTTTTGCTATAGTAGTATTTTTAGCAACTTGGTTGCAGAGGAGGAACCCGGGCACATTTTTAAAGGGGCCTCTGCCAGACTGGAGGCCTCCTCTCACCCTCACCCAGATGTCATAAGGGAGAGGGGGAGAAGTACACCGCTCGATGTGTGCCTTCAAATATAAAATCGGACTTGCTGGACATTAGGTGACTAATAACTCATCTTCACTAACAGTCCTTATTAGTCATCATCGGCATCATTATCGTTAGCAGTATTATTCAGAAGAGTAAATATTTCTGAACTTCTGCTCTGTGCAGGGTGCTGCTAGGGTCACAATATGAAAGCTTAACATAATATACTTGGTAAGATGGAAGAAGGAACCCACACTTCCGAGCAACTACGGGGTACCATGTGCTGTGCAAATCTTATTGTATAGGTGATTTCATGTAACTCTTACAATGACCCTATGAGGTGGCATCACCTCTCCTATTTTACAGATGAGGAAGCGAAAGCTTCTAGGGATTAGTAACTTGCCCAAGGCTACACAGTCATTAAATGGAAGAGTCCAGATTAAAACTCAGAGCAGAATAATAACCTTATCCCAAAACTGAATAGTGCTTTACAAAGTGCTTCCATGTCCATGATTTAATTTGGTGCTCTTGAGAACTGTGCGTGGGGCATTAATATTTTAATTAATTTATTTTTATTTATTTTTATTTTTCAATTATAGTTGACATTTGATATTATTTTATATTGGTTTCAGGTGTATAGCATAGTGGTTAGACATTTATGTAATTTGCAGAGTGATCTCCCCCGATAAGTCTAGTACCCATCTGACACCATACATAGTTATTATAATATTATTGACTATATTCCCTATGCTGTACTTTACATCCCTGTGACTATTTTGTAACTTCCAAGCTGCGCTTCTTAATTCCTTCAACTTTTCACCCAGCCTTCCAACCTTCCTCCCATCTGGCAACCATCAGTTTGTTCTCCGTACCTATGAATCTGTTTCCGTTTTGTTTGTTCATTTATTTCGTTATTTAAATTCCACGTATGAGTGAAATCATATAGTATTTGTCTTTCTCTGTCTGACTTATTTCACTTAACATAGGGGTATTTTTAATCCCTTTCCTGGGGAGGAAACAAGGCCTAGAGAGGTTAAGTGACTTGTGACTTGTCCAATTAGACCTCCAGTGAATCGCAAAATTAGGGCTAAGTGTTTGTTCATTTATTTTGTTATTTAAATTCCACGTATGAGTGAAATCAAATAGTATTTGTCTTTCTCTGTCTGACTTATTTCACTTAACATATGGGTATTTTGAATCCCTTTCCTGGGGAGGAAACAAGGCCTAGAGAGGTTAAGTGACTTGTGACTTGTCCAATTAGACCTCCAGTGAATCGCAAAATTAGGGCTAAAATGTAGGAGTTCTGACTTTGAATTCTGTGTGTTTTCACCTCTAACTGCTGTGTACTACTCTCAGCCTTGCACTAGGGGGTAGATAGAATGGGTTACAGTGGTTACAAATCAGACATAGTCTCTTCTCTCTTGGATCTTATAGTTTAATGATAGAAGCACATATGTGTGTGTGTGTGTGTATATATATGTATGAGATATATTTATATCTCCTAAAGTGATAAATGATAGATCCAAATGAATGACGCAGACGGTAAACCTGGGAGTTGAGGTGTGGGATAAATGATTGAGAATTTAGATGATCAAGGAAGGCTTCCTAAATGAAGATGGTTTGGAGGAAGAATAGGATACAGAAGTGGAGAGGGCTGGGAATGGGCAGAAAGATATTTCCAGCGAGGGCAAGTGTTGTAAGCCAGGCACTGAATTTAG